TCTATTGACTCATTTGCTATGCTTCCAGATGCTTTTGTAAAAGCGCACGTCGGAGCCATCAAGGTCGAGACCAGGAAGTCGGACCTTTTCAAGGTAAAGCAAAGAGATAACGAGATGCTCAGGGAGTTCGTGTCAAGGTTTCAAATGGAACGGATTGACTTGCCGCCGGTGGCAGATGATTGGGTCGTTCAGGTCTTCACCCAAGGACTCAATACTCAAAGCTCGTTGGCTTCGTAACATTTAAAGCAAAATCTGGTAGAATATCCGATTGTAACTTAGGCCGATGTGCATAACCGATATCAATCCAAAATTAGGGTCGAAGATAATCAACTTGGGGCCCCTTCTGGGTCAGTTTTATCCCGTCCGAGCTAGTGACAGATCCAAAAGAGACATTGATCGAGAACCAAGGTCAAGTAGGGATCGGTATCAACCGTACAACGGTGATCGTAGGGGTAACGTGTGTGGACGAAACTTTGTAAGAAATGAAATGAGAAGTGATCGAAGTCAAAATAATTGGGGACTCATGAGCAAAAATGGTTTCGACAAGCCCATCAGGCATAAGGAATCGCCGAGGTTATCGGAGTACAACTTCAACGTCGATGTTGCTGCTATCGTATCCGCCATCGGACGCATCAAAGACACCAAGTGGCCTCAACATCTACAGTTCGATCCGACCCAAAGGGATCCCAACTTAATATGTAAATATCATGGCACAAACGCTCACAGAATAGAGGATTGCTGACAGTTGAGAGAGGAAGTGGCTCGGTTATTCAACAACCGTTATCTCCGGGAGTTCCTAAGTGTTCATTTCAGGAATAGAGATTCTAGTAAGCAGATCGAGTAGGAGAAACCTCAGCACGTCATTAACATGATTATCGGTGGGGTCGACGTTCCCCAAGGGCCAATGTTAAAGCACACCAAAGTATCTATCACGAGAGGAAAATGGACTCGAGATTACGTACCAGAAGGAACCTTGTCTTTCAACGACGAGAACGCTGAAGGCATTGTGCAGCCCCACAATAATGCATTGGTAATATCTATACTCATAAATAAGTCTCGGGTTAAGCGTGTATTAATTGATCCAGGTAGCTCGGCCAATATCATAAGATCGAGGGTCGTGGAACAACTAGGTATACAAGACCAAATCGTGCCTACAGTCAGGGTTCTAAACGGATTCAACATGGCATGTGAGACCAATAAAGGGGAGATAACATTGCCAATGAATACCACCAGAATCATTCAGGAAACAAAGTTCTGCGTGATCGAAGGAGACATGAAGTACAATGCTCTATTTGGGAGACCATGGATTCACAACATGGGGGATGTACCCTCGACGCTGCACCAGGTTCTGAACTTCCCGATGTTAGGAGGAATTAAAACAATTTACGGAGAACAACCGGCCGAAAGGAGATGTTCGCGTTCGACAAGGTGATCTCGGTATCCACACTTTCGATATCTAAGGGTCTGAGTCTGGTGGCCAAAGACGAAACCAAATAGCAATTACTGATACCATCCTCAATGGAACCGAAAAAGCGGGGGATGGATGAGGACGACGACTACGGAGTTCCCAGGTCTTTCATGGTCCCCGATGATTTCGAAGCCACCAAATCAACAGTCAAAGAACTCGAGCAAGTCATATTGATCGAACACCTGCCTGATCGTAAGGTACACCTAGGCACGAGGTTAAGTCCCGAGCTCAGGAAAAAACTCATTAAATTCCTTATAGCTAACGTAACTTGTTTCGCTTGGTCCTATCTCGATTAGAGTTAATATCGTATCCACAGGGATTGGAGTTAAATAATATTTTCGTAATTTGTAGCTAGATTGCTATCTAGGAGAATCAACAGTTGAGATTGATGTGATTAAAACTAAAATTAACTAAGAGTCTAAACTATTGACTAAT